AGAAAAAGAAAGTGAGCGCTTCCCAAAAGTTTCTTATCTAGGGAACCTGATTATGTTCTAAGACATAAATGGTTCAAAGATGCAATAAACAAGTCTCTTTCTTGGCAATGACTTATAATCTTCCGAGCTTCCACTTCTTGTTATAGCAAACTCTTTTAGGCGCCGATTTATCACTATTATCATTTAACAACAGTATAAATAATGACTACAAAGTGTGATTCTCTTAAGGGGAAGCAGTTCGTTATTCAGACTGTATATGGATTTTATATTGTTCATATCTAATGATTGTTCTTTTAACATCATTCTTTGCCTTTTAAAGGGAAATATGTGAGAAACAAGTATCGGATAAAATACTTCCCTGCCAGTCAATTCACCTGTAAAAGGTGACCTCAGATGATAAGGTTGTCTTCAGATCAATTTTGAATTCAATCTAACTATGAGCTGAGGAGGTCTTTTTCATCTTAAAAGAAATGTATGAATGCTTCATGTCTTACTCTAAAAACCTGGAAGACTAAGAGCTGAATTCTTCATTTTTCTTTTTCCTTTCCGATAGCTGCTCAGTGCTCCATCATGTGAATATGTGATCTACAGTCTAGTTTTCTTTTTGCTAATTTTAGATAATGGTTATCATTTTTATTCAAATAATTTGTAATCCATCAAAGTCTCTAATTTAGTGATTATTGTTAAAAAGTATTTGTCAAAAGTTTGCTTTGCTCCTGATTATTGCAGTTTTCTGCTGTGTGGGTGCCCTTGCTATTACTGGCTCTCTACATCATATTGACAAGGACCTGCTTGGATGGTGGTTATCTGGCCTCTACATCATATTGAACAAGGACCCTGGCTTGGATGGTGTTATCGCTGAACGCAATTCCAAGTCTGGAGGTTCTTAAAAAGAGTGCCCTGAAAACTCTGATGTTCGTGCATTTTTGTCAAATAAAGAGTTTTCTCTATGTGACATTTTAACTAAATTCATTGCCAAGAATCAATGATATATGTAATAATGCTTTCAGGTTTCGCTACTCCTTGGTAGGGTCTTTGCAAGCTTGAATATGATTGACAGATTCATTGGTATTTAACACAAGGAAACTTGTAAGTTTATCTAAACGTCAGGTAGTTCCAATCTTTTGGAGCTGTCCAAAGAATCCTAGATGTTCATAGTCTCTAATTTAGTGATTATTGTTAAAAAGTATTTGTCAAAAGTTTGCTTTGCTCCTGATTATTGCAGTTTTCTGCTGTGTGGGTGCCCTTGCTATTACTGGCTCTCTACATCATATTGACAAGGACCTGCTTGGATGGTGGTTATGTGAACGGCAAGTCAAGTCTGGAGGTCTAAATGGTCGCCCTGAGAAACTTCCTGATGTTCGTATTTCTGTCAAATAAGAGATTTTCTCTATGGACATTTTAACAAATTATTCCAATCATGATTATGTAAAATGCTTTCAGGTTTGCTACTCTTGGTGGGTTCTTGCAAGCTTGATTATGATTGACAGAGTTCATTGGATTAACAAGGAAAAGCTTGTTAAGTTTATCTTAAACTGTCAGGTAGTGCCAACTTTTTGGAGCTGTCCAAAGAATCCTAGGATGTTCATGACATTGATGTTTTTATCTCTGAAAAACATATTCAAATTTTCAGGACACTGAGAATGGAGGAATTTCGGATAGACCTGAAGATGCTGTTGATGTTTTCCATACATATTTTGGAGTAGCTGGTACATATTTTCATCAGCTCTGATTTTTTTGACATGAGTATCTAGACATGCGCATGTGGTTTCCTTTCTTCCTTTCCAAGTCCTTAATTTTCTAAAAGCTGCTAGCATGAAATCGGTATCTACAATTGTTCTCAATTATTTTTCCTGTACCTAGTGAAGCCTTTTCTTTTCTGATTGTTTATTAATTTATAATTTTTCAAAGAACGGAAAAATATGAGGTTACAAAATCAGATTGTTGGCATGTAAAGTGCGTATCCCACTCGATCCACTACCTAAATCAGGATAACTTTTATTCTCTATATTAGCTCCATTTGGTTTTTCCTGGGTAGAAGTGCTACTTGAGTGTGTACGACTACATTATTTTTGTGTTTGTCCATTGAACTTGGTAATGTGATTTCTAGTGATTTGTTGCTTCCTATACTTAACATTTTATTCTTATCTGCGGATTTCATGTTATAAATTTTTACCTTTTGCTGATTGTGCAGGTCTCTCACTTCTGGAGTATCCTGGAATAAAAGCCACTGATCCAGCCTATGCTTTGCCAGTAGATGTTGTAAATAAGATTTTCTTTAATAGATGACCGTCTTCAACATTGACATGGTGAAACTACTTTATTTTATTATTACCTTTTTTTTTTTGTCACAATTGAAGTTTATAACCACTAGAGTCTTGTCTAGTGATTCTTCATGGCTCTCTTCTTTTGGGTGCTTTCACAAACCTAGTTAAACTTTTACATAGCTACGTTGTTACTTGTATTAATGATAATCTAAGAGGTATCCTTTAAAGTATCTCATGAGCAGAGCAGTTAGTGTGCAAATCTTAAAATGTATATCATTTATTTGCTATCTTTTTAATGTGTATGAAAATACAAAATACTTTACCTGTTTGCTAATAAAAGTTTCTCTTTTCTTGTTTTGATATTTTGTTGTTGAACTAGCATTCTTAGCTTGTATCTAAAATTACTCTCTGTATAAAATTTTGCCCTAGTAGGTTTCTCTTTCTCTGTCTTTCCCTACCTTATTTAAGCAACAGAGAAAAGATTGGGCCATCAAATACTGTGGTGGTTGTTGCTGGTGGTGCCATCGGTCTCCTGATCAAGTGGTGAAATTCCGGTAAATTCAGTTGGCATTATACCTACTTGGACATTGCCTCTCATGGGATGCTTGGATGACTCTTCAGGTATCACAACTATTTCCAAATATTAATATTGGCTGCTGCAAGATCCAACGAGCTAGAAGCCCCCTTTTTTATTAAAGATAAGCAAGGTGAATGACATATAAAATGGCTAAGCAAATGACATATAATAAGCAAGGTGAATCAACTAAAATGGTTCATTTTGTATAGATAAGTTCAACTCGTTAAAAGCTCCAAATTGTTATCGAATGAAATCATTAATTTTAACTCCAAATTGTTATTGAATGAAATCATTAATGTACTTGTATTAATAGTGAGCTTAACTCATTATAACATCAAATGATTAATAAATTCAATTGAGAGAAAATTACGATTTTGTTCTTATAAAATTTTGAAATTAACTAGCGTGTCTTTGTATCTTGAAAAACATATTTGTGCATCTCTAAATTTTGTTTCTGTTAGCATATTCTATCCTTCTGTTCTTATTTTGTATTTGTCCCTTGAATGCTTAAGGAAAAAGGCAAAAATGTCTTTCATTAGAATAAGATGCTTTTCTTCTTCTTGTTGGCTCTTAACCAAGCCGTTTGCTTGGTCATCCCTCAATAGCCATCCACAAACATTGTCCCTCCTTAGTGCCAGCCATGTTAGGAATAACAAATAGTTTGAGACCTGCAGACTATAATAATCTAAATATGAAATAGTTGTTAATCATAAACATATCATGTGCGAAAAAGATTGAGCAAATTAGCCATGAAATATCCATGGTCTGGTAATATTTAATAATTGTCATGCAAAATTCAATGTAGAATCTTTTAACCTGGCCTCCCATATTCACATAATTGTATAATGTTCTTATAATTCCAGTAACAGTCACCACATTTCCATGAATGCATGCGTCAACAAGCTCTTCAATCAGAAATGCATGTGATGTTACATTTACTTCTCATAATCATTATTAACAAATTAATAATATTTTAAATTTATTTTTTAAAAACTAAATCATTACTAACAAGTTAGAAAAATAAAATAACTTGTGTTTTTTTCCGGTACTAGAAATTAAGAGCCCACCCAAAAGCATTACCAAAGTGCATAAATATCTTTGCTCTGCTTTTCCAGTTCCGACCCAACCGAAAGCTGCGTCTTCTTTCTTATCTTCTTCAGACGAAGTTCGCAAACTTATCAATTTCAACACTATGTCAATTGCTTTTCAATTTTCAAAATACTGCTGCTGTTAAAAAAACAAAAATCTCATCATTTCTTTGCATTCCCTGTAAATCTGCTTCTTTCACATATTGGGTTTTCCTTTTATATGGCTACTTCGGCTCCTATTTGTCCATCTCCTGCTACAATTCCGAAGATGGTTGAAGCCACAAAAATAATTCCTATTCTTTTTAAAGGATCAAACTCTAGAGATTAGTTTTGATTATTGTTTTTTTTTAAAAACTAGAAAATCGAGCAATAAAAATACGGGGGAGGGTTTGTAGTAGAGAGTAAATTAAACGGAATCAATTAAAATAAAAGAATGCAATAAAAGAAATAAGTTTAAATCAATAAACACTGAATTCAGTCAAAGACAATTTTTAGTAATTGTCTTGATTGCAATAAAAGAAATAAGTATAAAATTGTCTTGATTGATCATTGATTCTAAGATAACTCAATAATTTCAAGAAATAGGCAAGTTATAATCTTTGACCAAATATCGCTGATCAATCTTTTCATATTATTAGATTAAACAAGACAAATGCCATGAATAGTCCCTAACTAGCAAACAACCATAAATAAGTGATATAATTTAATTTGCTAATATATAGCAATAAGAACTAGAAAAACCCTGCCTGATTACAATTAGATTGTGAATTTTCATAATATAATCCAAAGGCCTGATTTTAAATTATATTAATTGTTACTTGAATTAACTCAACTAAACAATTACAAATTTAATCTTGCTGATTAGCTATATGCTATCCTATTAAATTAAACAATTGGCCATATTGAACGAACAATAAGATAACAATGGAGATGGAGTTTCTCATTGTATGTAGAAAAATGCACAAATATTAATTGAAATTAAAGAAGAAAATAAATATATTAAGATCTCACAATCATTGAAGAATTTCTACTTCAAATTCAACCTATAACCGAAAAGAAAAACTTAAGCCATGCATGGCCATAGAGAAAATCTGAGAAAAATATTAAACCCTAAAAAGAGCGACCGCTGTTCCACAATAATGATGATTTTCCTCTTAATGGACTTAAGGTTCTATTTTATAAGAGAGGGAAAATTCCCTAAACTTGGAAAATAAATTTAAAATTAATTTTAAAATAAAATAGTTAGAATCCAAGTATCTTTCTAATTCCCTAATTACTCTAGTTGCTTTAAATGATTTTCTGGAATAACCCTAAAGTATTTCAAGCTGGCAAATGTCGTAATCTCGATTATCCTGGACGCATCTCCCTTAGCATTGTCCAATCTATATTGTCAACTTTCAGGAGGTTTTAGATATGCTTGGATGCACCTCTCTTAACCTTGTCCAAAGGTAAATTGTCAACTTCCAAGAGGTTTTAGCAGTTTCTTGGGAATTCAACTCTAACTTAACATATTTCTCTAAAATTTTCAAAATTGGCCCCAAAAACTCCTTACCCAATGATTTTAGCAAAACCTAAGAAAAATATTAAAATAAAGTAAAAGTTTCATTTTAAAATAAAAATATCCTAATCATTAATCAAAAAGAGAATAGATCATGTTAAATTGGCCACTCATCACTCGATCAATCTCTTCTTCTTGAAAAAATCAAAGGCCTTTTCACGGTGAAAATTGGCTTCACTAATTCTTTAGGGAATTTAGTTTTCAAGGTCACTAAGAACTCATCACCTCCTTTGTACTCCCGTATCCTCTGCTCTACTATTGCTACTTCTTCTTCTTGTTCTCGTCGGCTTCAGTTTTCCTTTTTCCCATTATCTGACTTTCATCGATAAAATAGAGGCTTAATTAGTTTAAATGTCATCAACGGTCCAGTTTAGGTATATAAATTTCATCTCTCTCCTCTGACCAGCGCTTTTTGCATTGACTTAATCTGGAGAAGTGAGAAAATTAGATGAAAGGATACAATAATTTAATGGAAGAAAAATTTAGGGATATAAAAATTTGTTTTCCAAAATACAAGGATAAATCAATTAATTTCAATGTTTTATAAGGATAAAATTGTAATTATTCCTTTGATTAGTTATTTTTAGGGGCCTGTTCAAAATTAATTGTTTTCAAAAGTCAAATGTTACAGTGGTTAACCTTTTATAAAATACTACTTTAACTCTTAAAAATTAGTTAAAATGCTACGTTACCGAACATTATAAAAAAATAACAACCAAAGCACTAAAAACTACTTAAAAAACTATTGTCAACCACCGTCTAGAGCTAGATTTAACAAACCTAAAATTATTGGAAATATTTTCCATAATAAGTAAGGATGGAGTCAAAACAATATAAAATGATTCATACGGTTTTAAAAAATTTATGGTTTTGCTTAGTTTGTGAACTTTAAAAACCAAACTATTAATTTGGTTTACAGTTTTCAGATTAAAACTACAAAACCATTTTATTGTTCATTTGGACTTTAAAATAATAGATAATTTAATGCTATTTTTTTATGAAAAATTTTCCGTGTTATAATTAGTATGTATGTATTGATGAAAAAAAGGGTGCAAATTAAAATTCTTTTCATATATATAAAATATATTTAATTCGAATTAAAACTGTCTAAATTGAATTAAACTGTTTCATAGATTTAATTCAATTTTAATACCCTTAATAATTTTGTTCAATTTGAATTTTTTATAAACGGCCACCGTAATTTTGGTAAATCGACACAAATATTGGGTTTGATTTTTGTTTTAATAGCAAAATTTAAAATTTTTTAAATTAAATTTGGGTTTTAGTAAATTGAAAAAAAATAAAAAAATAACAAGATTATTATATTGCATGTAAACATAATTGGTATTTTTGTTTATTTTTATTAAATTATTATATTAAGGTATTTTAGAAAATAAAGACCCAACTTTCATTTAAGAATTTATTCAATACATAATTTTGTAAGATTCAATTGAATTTTTTATTTTAAAGAGATAATTGCAATTTTGGTGTATAGACTTTCCGAAATTTTCTATTTTGGTACATGAACGGAAAAATTTACAACTTGGTTAATAAACTCTTAATTTTTTTAACAACCGAGTGAAAATTACAACAAGGTGATATATTATCTTGCTTGTGCTGGAATTGATGTGAAGTATAATTCCCCCCCCCCCCCCCCTTTTTTTTTTTTTTTTTTTTTTGAAGGTTATATTTTCCCTGTCAGTCATTATGTTTAGGCTCTATAAATTCACTTTTCTCCACTTGTATTTTATATTTATATTAGATTTATGCTTTTCTATTTTTATGTTTGGTTTGTTTATATTATTGTATTTTCAGTGAAAAGCAGCTATTTCCAGCCTGCACACCACATGTTTGTTGTAAAGTCTAAGAGACTTTGTTTGTATATTTTTATAATGCTTTAAATTTGATTACTTTGATTATGGCATTAGAAACCATTGTAAATTTGATTGCTAAAAGATGATTTTGTGACATGGAGTAGCAGATGATGGAGAACTTACAAAAATGGATGCTTTCATGGTCTCTTTTGCATTTTTTGGATTAGATTAAAGAGAGAGAATGAGTACAGTTGATATTTAAGAACCCTAATCCTGTAGGAAGATAAAGGAGGACAATCTAGTCATTTTCCATTTTCAGTGTTTTTAATCCACATGGCAACCATTTTCAGTGTTTTTAATCCACATGGCAACTTATGTGGCATCCTATTTGGCACCAAAATTAGCAATTAAAAAATGGAGGTGGGACCCAGTCATCCTACAATAATTTCCGTTTGTCCACACATGCAAATTTCACTCAATTGTTAAAAAATTAATAGTTTATTAATCAAATTGTAAACTTTTTCCATTCATGCACAAAAATAGAAAATTTCGGAAAATTCATACACCACAATTGCAATTATCCCTATTTTAAATTATACCATATTAAATACTATGAGATTTTATAGTATTACAAATGAATTCTGTATCCATGGTTGATTAAATTATGTTTCAAACATAGTGTTAATTATGTTTCAAACATAATTAAAATTGAAATCTCTGAAAAGTAAGTTCAATTTAAGTGTAACTGAAAGTACTTTAAATGATTTAGTCGTTTTAAATTAATACTGCTTTGAGGATGGTTTAGGACTCCAATGCCTTTCATGCAAACCTAACATTGTGTGGGTGAGAGACAGAGGGGCGAAAAAAATAAGAGAGAAAAATGTTGCTAGGAAAAAAAATTAATTTCACTTGTTTATGTTTGGATATAGGAGATTCATTATTATAGTTTTTGCTATCCTCCCTCCAATTTAAAGAGAATTTTGAAAAGAAAAGGAGAAGTTATTTTTCTTCTTCTCAAATAACAAAAAATGGTATTACCCTATTATTGTTTGGGTAATTTATTATTTAGTCCCTCAGGTTTTACAAAATTAACCAACTAATCCAAGGTTTTGCCAAAATATCTAGCTAGTCCTTCAGGTTTAACTTTTTGCAATTAATATTCCTTGTATGGATTTTCATCAATGAATGTCAAAGTTGACCCATATTTTTAAGATTGTCTGATAGTAGAAAACACGAGAAGAATTTATAGGACGGACAGTTGAGCCATATTTAAGAGTTACTGACTTACTGTCATATTTTGTGGGGCTTAATTTTGCCTGTCATATATCACATTAATATATTTGAATTTAAATTGATAAAATAAAATATATAATAAATATCAATAATAATAATAATAATTCTAATCTAGTATTCTATTAATTTTAATGATAAAAGTATAATATACACAATATGTAAAGTGTGTACTGTTTGTTATACTCACTTTCCCTTTTGTTCCTCCTATGCTATAATGATATACCTAATTTATCTTTTGCACAGATAACCTTACATTAAATATTAATATTCATATTCAAAGTTGTGAAATTATAATAATATAGGTGACAATAATAATTACTTTTTTATCTATAAATAACTATTATTTTAGAGCCGGTGTTTTCTACGCAAATATCTTTTTTTTTAGAATATTAATTGAGTAATAATTTATTTTTCAATTTTATCATTATTTATATTAATTAATAATTATTTTATAAATTTTCCAAATCATAAACATCTCCTCTCTTACTACTTAAGGTTACGTAATAAAATTAATTAATATTTTGTTATAATTTATAAGAATAAATTTACTTACTTAATTACCATAAAAATATTAAAAGTATTTATGAATAGATGGAATACTTTGTTTTTTTTTTTAGATTTTATCAATGATAATAGAAATGTTTCTTGATAAAATTTGCATATTAAATATGAATAAAATAGAAAATATGTTTATTACTTTTTTTTCTAAAAAAGAAACTATGATGATAATTTGGGGTAAAAAGAAAAATGAAGTAATTACTTTTTTGAAGATGTATTTACTTTCATGATTCACTCAAATTTAATAATATTTAATTAGAACATCAAATTAATTTTTTTATCCTTTTTTTAATACTGTCTTTGTTTTATAATACTTGTCAGATTTGAGAAAATAGTTTGTTCTAAAATATTTGTCTAATTTAGTCTAAAATACTTGTTATATTTACGGTTTTAAGGAGTAATAAATATTTTTTTCATATTTACCCTTTGTGTATGATTAATAATTATTATTTCAATTTAATGATTTTCTTAGAGATTAATATTAAATTAAGAGTAATATTGTCAAAATTTATTCAATAATTTATTATAATTTTATTCAATTAATTTATTATAATTTATACAAATTTAATAATTTTTTTAAAAGGACGATAGAAAATTCTAAAATGTGACGAATATTATAAAAATGAAGATAGTAATATTTAGAGACATTAATTATATTTAATGGTTCGATTGCAAAATTTCATAAGCTAAAAACTAAAAACCCCGTACATTAAGAGAGGAAAATGATTATGTCTCCATCGACTTTATATGAAACTCTTCAATTTCATTTTTAAATTTAGCAAAAGCTTAATTTTCCTACTCGTGTTAATTAAGCTTAGTCTTATATAATTCTACATTGAATTCTACATGTGCATAAAATTATAGGGAAAATTATTATTTAGTCTTTTAGTTTATACAATTCCCTCACTTATCGCTTCATACTGGTCCACGTCAGATAGGGAGAGGTGTTTTAGTCTTTTAGTTTTCAATTAACGAAAAAAAACTAACTTTTCGGACGGAAGAACCTTTCAATTAGACGGATTTAAACCTGAGGGACTAGTTAGATATTTATGCAAAACTTAGAATTAGTTAGATAATTATATAAAACCTGAGGGACTAGATAATAATTTTCCCTTATGGTCCACGTCAGCTAGGGAGGGGTATTTTAGTCTTTTAGTCTATACTAGGGAGGGGTATTTTAGTCTTTTAGTCTATAATTAACGGAAAAAAATCAACTTTTCGGACGGAAGAACCTTTTAATTAGACGGAGTTAAACCTGAGGTACTAGCTAGATATTTTGGCAAAACCTTGGATTAGTTGGTTAATTTTATAAAACCTGAGGGACTAAATAATAAATTTCCCTTATTGTTTTTTAGATATTTTCCTTCCCCTCATATTTTAACTCCATCAGAACTACTAATTATATGTAATAAATTCTTCAGGACTAAAACCTAAAAATAAAAACTCACTAAGAGAAATTTTCAGTGAGAAAATGACTAATCCAATAGTAATCATGCCAAAGTACATTGAAGCAATTTGAATGGAGGTGAAACATACAAGTTATTCAAAGCATGAGACCACCTAAGAAACCCTCATATATATTCATCATTCTATATTTTACTGATTTCAAATGCATCACCAAGGAATTAAATTCCACAGCAAAAAATATTTCAGCAAAACCAAAACTATAATAACAATTTATCACACTTTCAAAACCAAAGCAAGACAATGAGATGCACACTGAATAATACCATATGCGCATGCCCGCAGCTCTGCTGTGAAATTTTGTTTCAATTTCTTGTAGTTGAATGGTCAAAGCAGCAGCTCAAATATTCAACTCGGTGAAACTTAATTCTGTGGAGAAGCTCTAAAATGCCTAAAGAACATTAACTCTCTGTTTAAAGGACCCATTAATATGATAACAAGATCAACCTAAATGATATGTTAAGAAGTGAAAATCCTCCACCCTATGCACCAGAAATACAGAATCCTTCCATGAAGCGTGATAAGAACATTTTTCAATTAAAATGAAGCAAAATGAAAAGGTAAGGGAAACAATTAGGCAATAGAAAACTTGCCCCAAGGAAAAACAACATTAATGAGACAGCTAAGAAGATGATTATATCCACCAACCACCATGTCTTTGAAACAATCTCGTTTTCTAAAAAGTCAAGATTCCATATCTCTTCTCTCTGGACAGTTTATCAACTAAAGCTTAATGCGCTTGCATCATTACAGTTTCCTTTATTAAGGAACGAGTAAATTCAGCTGCTTCTGCTTGAAATATTTATGGAAGTGCACGGCCCTAAATCTATTGACAACTTCCATGAAATGTAATTGACCCGATGGCTAGTCCAGAAGCCTAGAATGTCTTACATTATGAGTCAGTGATTAATATTACCAAGAATTTAAATAGGTTTAATCAGCAGACAACAAATCCTAATTCCTGAATGCTTGAAAACATACAGCCATGCACTGTACCACACAATTTCTGAAGACACGTTTCAACAGAATTACTCAAAGAGATTACCTAAACTTAATACAAAATTCAAACAATTTAATTTTGTATTTTTAAATGATACCTAATGCCACATGCAAATCAAATACAACAAGCAATAAACCAATAGTCATCATTTCAAAAGGAGCAAGATAAATTTGGAAAATCTCCAAACAAAAATAGCACAAAAATACAATACAAACCAAGCATTTAATAGAACATGCACTAAAGACTAAAATCCTTTAACTGTATGACAAAACTAAGCAGAAATCATTAATTCCAGCCAAAACAGACAAAAAAGAAACCATAGCCAGACAAAAAGTTATAATCTCCAATTCCAATCTGGAACTACCTGACAGTAACAATGTCATCAATCTTCAAAATCATTCGCACGCACTCAGTTGCCAAAGTAATTGCACTTGTGCTCACAAGCAGTGGCTGCACCACATTCTCCTCCAAGATATTTGTAATCTGTCCCTTCCTGACATTGATGCCAGCATTGATCTCCCCTTGAGCATGCCTATTCCTCAGCTCAGTAACAATAGCAATTGGATTGAGCCCAGCATTTTCAGCCAAAGTGTATGGTATGACCTCAAGTGCCTCAGCAAAAGACCTTGCACAGTACCCTTCCATACCATGTAGCACTTTCGCCCATGCCCCAAGCTGCCTCGACAATTCAATCTCTGGAGCCCCACCTCCAGCAATTAAAAATCGCTTATTAACCAGGCATCTAACCACACACAATGCATCATGCAAACTCCTTTCTGCTTCATCAATAACCAACTGATTTGACCCCCGCACAAGCACTGTGGTGGTTCTTCCCATATTCTTAATTCCAGTAACCTTAACAATCTTTCCACCATCCCCGAGTGAGACCTCCTCAACAAGATCAGCATAGCCTAGCTTCTCTTCTCTGAAATGTTCAATATTTGCAATCGGCAAGCAATTCAAAGTCTTAGTGATGAACTCAATCTCATCTCTCTCCACATCCTTAACTACCAAAATCTTAGCTTTTGCCAAATAATGCAGAGACAAATCTGTCACTGCATCTCTCAAGATACTCTTCTGAATCAGCAATACATTGCACCCAGTTGCCTTAATCTTCTTAATCATACCCAAAATGTAATTTCTCTCTTCCTTCAAAATCCTATCCATTTGTGTATAATCAGAAACAACAATGCTCTGCTCTATATCAGTTTTTGGAGGTGAAATTTGAAATTGAATGACTGCAATCTTAGCATTCTCAACTCTTGTGGGCCCACCCGCAGCATGACTAACTTTCTTGTCAAACACCAAACCTCTAACCATCTCTGTGTCATCCACAGTACCACCTAGCTTCTTTACTATCTTAATATCCCTCAAGTCCACCAAATCAGGCTTGGCAGGATCAACTACAGACAGAACTGCATCAACCGCCAATGGGGCGAGAAGGGTGGAATATTGACTCACTACTTTACTGTTTAACGAAGTGCTTGCAGATTTAATTAGGGATTCACGGTCGGATAATTCCACAGGGACAGCCATGGCAGTTAATACATCAACAGCTTTAATAGAAGCTTTATGAAGAGAATCAGAAATTACCGTAGGGTGGATACCACTGGATAGGAGCGAGAGACACTGTTTCAACAGCGCACCAGCAATAACTACGACGGTAGTGGTACCATCACCAGCGGCAGAGTCCTGCGACTTTGAGAGCTCAACAAGCATTTTTGCTGCCGGCTGAAGGACCTCCATTTTGTTGAGAATGGTAGCACCATCGTTGGTGATAATAACCTCGCCGCTCGCAGTCGAAATCATCTTGTCCATTCCTTTAGGGCCCAGACTGGTCCGAACCGCGTCGGCTACAGCTCGGGCGGCAACTATATTAGCGTGGCGGATATCCTCCTTGCGTTTATTGTCAACATAAGACTCGGTCTTGGAGGATCTAGGCTGGGAGACTGCCGGTGCTGCCATTGAAACTGCAGATTCAGAAGATGAAACCTAACCCTGATGCGAGAAAGAAAAATGTTGGAAGTTTGGATTAAGAGTTTCAAGACTAGAGTACAAGAGTATCTTGGAAAAAGTGTTTTGGAAGGAACCCTATAGTGAGAAAAGAGCAATCCAGAGAAATGCAGAGGGTTCAGTTCAGCAGCATAAAGAAACAATACGAGTTTACGGTACGATGTCTGTTTGGCTGTAGGGACATTTGTATTCTTATGCTTTCTTGCACTCTTAATATTTTATTTATTATTATTTATAAATCACCAACCATTACAATTTATTTTATTTTAAAAAAATAAAATTTTAAACAAACAAATTTTAGTTATTTAAATAATGAAGTTATACAAAATTTTTAGTTTTTAAAATAATGAGTATATATAATATATAATTATATATATATTATATTATATATATATATAAATTTGATTAGATGTTTTTAATATTTTTTTAATAGATAATGCATATAGATAATTAGTATTTAAAAATTTAAATTTTGCTTACTATTATCTATTATGTCTAATTATGTTTTATTTCATTATATTATTATTTTAAATATTAATAATTAACTTAATAAATTTAGTATTATTATATTACTTTATTTTTATTACATTATTGTAATTTATCTTCGAACATTATTATTTTAAATGAATTTACATAGAGCGGCATTTGAAAATTTTTATTTTTTCAAATTTATTTAAATAAATATATCTAGATAATTCAGATTTTGATTTTAAAAAAGGGTATGGTTAAATTTCTTTAATTATAAATTGCACTCTATTTGGTTGCCAAAAAATATTTATTTTTATACATCTCGGAATTTGATTTATTTATATTGATATCTTTATTTAATTCAATTCATATTCTTTTTATTTAAGGATATAATTTTAAATAAATTTTTAAATGATTTCATGATTTTGATTGGCTAAAAAAATAAAAATAAAAATTATTATTATTTATAAATACTTCATTTGATTTATTAGATTAGTTTTTCATTTTGAGTCTGTTCGGTAATACTAGCTGTTGTAATAACTGTTAGCTGTTTGATGTTAGTTGTTAGCTGTTTATATAGTGGCTTAAAACAAAAGTGTCCAATAAAAATATATGTTTGATTAGCTGTTAAAATTAAAATGATAAAAAAAGACATTATAATGTAAAATTTTAAATTATAGCCATAAAACTGAAATGGACTAATTGATAAAAAAATATGATAAAAAAATAAGAGATATATATGTAAAAAAAATGTTTTTTTTCTAAATTATTATCATATTTTTTTATTTCAATTTTTTTCTATAACAAAAAATTATTTCTTATAAATTAAAATGAAAAGACAAGAAAATTTTTTTTCTAATGTTATTTAATTTTGACAACATGCTCTTATCCTTGTTTTAATACAATAGAAATAAATAATTAAATAATTAAAATGACATATATTCTCTTGAGATTTGAGGAAGAAAATTAAATAAATAACAAGAGTACCAAATTCAAAGGAGTGTTATTGCAAGTAAAATTGTAAGCCTTAAGAATAGGGAAAAATAAAATAAATGGATAAGACTGTCAAAAAATAAAACTTAAAATGCTAAATGTTAAGGGATTTAATGTTGGTGCAACGCTCCTTAACCTCTAACAGCTATTATAAATATTAAATTACCAAACAATCAAATTGATAAATATAGTGTTTTAACGCTAGTCATACATTGAACGCTCCTAAAACATTATTGTTGTACAGGCTCTTTATTATTAAAGTATATTTATTTACTAAAAGAGATTATAGTGAAAGTTATTAACAAAAATATGTAAGTTAATTATAAAACGTAAAATAAAAGGTATATATTATGATGGATTGATAAAAGGTATATGATGATTTTTATAAATCAATTTGGTACTTAAACAAAAAATAAAAGCAACTAGTGTATAATAAAAACTATATGAACCAGTATATTGAATAAAATATAAATGACATATTTCATATTTAAATTGCTATTTTAATGAGAGAAATAAATATATAAATTTTTTTTCAATGAGATATTACAAGTGCAAGACATATAACTAAAAAAAAAAAAAAATTTACTTTATATATAAAAATCACTATATTTATTGCAATCTAAATAAGAATTTTATAATTTAATTATATAAATAAAAAAAATTTAAACGAGTATAAAAAATGAGCATATAACGAGTATAGTCAACGTGCATCACACGTTATAAAAAGAACTATATATATAAATGTGAGAATAGTGGAAAATAATGAGATTTCCGATATCGCTCTTCATGAAATTTAGAATATCTTAAAATAGTCCAATTCAAAAATTACATTTTATACCAATGAGTGTTTGGATGAGTGGTTCGGCACTCTTCTCCCTTAAGTAAGATCGAGGGTTCAATCCTCATGAATAGAGCCAATATTCACTATGAGCACTTTACCCTTTCTTGGGCCCGACTTAGTGCAAGCAGGATTTAGTTTTAGCCAAGTGAACTTGGGATACCTATGGTTCAGACAAAAAAAAGAAAATTACAAAATTACATTCTATATTTGATTGGACTTTCTAAAAATTATTTTTTAAACAAATACATATAAATAATAAAAAAGAAAAAAAAAGTATACTAATCTTTTTTGTATGGTTGTGGGAAAAATTGAGATTTATTTGGCGAGTATAGAACGTTTCTTTTATGTAATCTTTTATACTAATTAATTACTTATTTGAAAGTTAGAAAAATAGAGAAATAAAATTAGATCCTAGCATTATTTGCTTTGTAATTTACATTTATTGACTTGGCTATAATTTTTTTTTTCTATCAACATCAAATTTCATTAAATTACAGTATTTTCAATTAAAGAGAGGTTTAATTTTTGAAATTCAAATTGGTAATTTTTTAATATAATTTATTTCTTATTATATGTTGAGTTTCCAAAAGAGTTATATTCTAAATATCAATTTTTTATTTTCTTTTTGTTACTGAATTAACTAGTATTAGAACCCGGGTGATGCGTGGAGCAATATTGAAAATTGAAATAATCTTTATAACATCATTCAAAATTAACAAAATTGTATGATAAAATGATTGTGAAATGTATTATACAATTGTATCTCATTCAGATATGCTAAAAAGTTACAATGCTAATATTTGCCTTCTTGAGGATCCTGCGAAGCCTTTCACTATTGTATGTAATAGCAATAACCACGCATGATATGACCTACAAAAAAAATGGAAACACACTATTATTGTTTATTTCAATAGTGATAATAATTTTAAAAATTTAACTAATTATATTGAAATAAGAAACTAAGTATTTTTTATTTTATGTTTATTATTTATTATAAATAACTATTCATTTATTGTACCTCATACGTTCCCATATCTCGTGTCTCGTGTCCGTATAATCTAGCTCCTAGTATATGAGACTACCCCATACACCAATGTAATCAACCAAGATTTTTTTTTATTATCAAGAAAAAATGAAGTGTTTTTTAATTCATTTTTGTGTCTTTTCTAATATTATATTTTTTAATAGTGATAATAATTTTGAGAATTTAACTAATTATATTGAAATAAAAAGTTATATATTTTTCTATTTTATGTTTGTTATTTATTTTATAAATGATTGTTTATTTATTATCATATCTCACTGTATAACCTAACTCTTGGTACATGAGACGATCCCATATATGCACGAAGGTAATTAGCCAGGGTGTTTTTTTTCTTATCACTAAGAAAAAATTAAGTGTTTTTCTTAATTTATTTTTGTGTCTTTTCTAATATCGTATTTTTCAATAGTGATAATAATTTTGAGAATTTAACTAATTATATTGAAATAAGAAATTACATATTTTTTATTTTTTATTTATTATTTATTATAAATGATTGTTTATTTATTATCATATCTTATAGGTTTCCATATCTCGTGTCCCGTATCCGTGTAACTTAACTCTTGGTACATGAGACTATCCTATACACCAAGATAATCAACTATGATTTTTTTTATTACCAAGAAAAAATTATGTTTGTTTTTTTTTTTTAATTCACTTTTGTGTCTTTTCTAACATTGTATTTTTCAATATTGATAATAATTTTGAGAATTTAACTAATTATATTGAAATAAGAAGAATTTAACTAATTATATTGAAATAAGAAATTAAGTGTTTTTCATTTTGTATTTATTATTTATTATAAATGATTGTTTATTTATTATTGTATCCCGTACGTTCCCGTATCTCGTGTCTCGTGTCCGTGCAACCTATCTTCTTGTATATGAGAATACTCTATATAATAAGGTAATCATTAAGAAATTAAGTATTCTTTATTATTTATTTATTATTTATTACAAGTGATTGTTTATTTATTATCATATCCCATATGTTCTCGTATCTCGTGTCTTTGCAACCTAACTCTTGGTACATAAGACTACCCTATACACCAAGGTAATCAATCAAGAATTTTTTTATTACCTAGAAAACATTAATTGTTTTTTTTTTTTTTTAAATTCGTTTTGTGTCTTTTCTAACATTTTATTTTTCAATAGTGGTAATAATTTTGAAAATTTAACTAATTATATTGAAATAAGAAATTAATTAATTTTATTTTATGTTTATTATTTAATATAAATGATTGTGTATTTATTATCGTATCCCGTACATTTTCATATCTCATGTCCCATGTTCATAAATAATTATTTATTTATTATCGTATCCCATACATTCTTGTATCTCATGTCCTGTGTCCGTGCAATCTAATTTCTAGTATATGAGACTACCACATACACTAAGATAATCATTGAAATAAGAATTAAGTTTTTTTTATTATGTTTATTATTTATTATAAATGATTATTTATTTATTATACGTTCCCGTATCTCGTACCCCGTGTTCGTGTAACCTAACTCGTAGTACATGAGACTGCCCCACATACCAATGTAATCAACCTATTCTTTTTATTATCAAGAAAAAATTAATATTTTTTTAATTATTTTTTGTGTCTTTTCTAGCATTATATTTTTCAATAGTGATAATAATTTTGAGAATTTAACTAACTATATTAAAATAAGAAATTAAGTATTTTTTTATTTTATGTTTATTATTTATTATAAATGATTGTTTATTTATTATCAAATCCCATGCGCGCACAATAGTGAGTGAAAAAGAGAAACAAATTGTGTATGTGAAAAAGAGAGAGATCCAAAACAGTG